GTTTGTGTATTGTTAACACCAATTTTTCTTTCCATAGAAACCAGTTTCAATATTTGAAAAAAGATCAAAAACCGTAAAGAGCGGTAAGCGAGCACTGCAACAAGCAGGTATGTATTAATATATGAATGTATAACGCGCATATGACAACAACAGAGATTAGATATGGTTATTAAGATTGTACTGTTTATGTTTTTTTGTACTGTTTGCTAGTCTGTTCGTTCGTTCGTTTGTTCGTTGGCTCGTATCAAGTTTGTTTAACGTGTTCGTGCTAATGTGTGACAGACACATATTAAATTATTAATTAATTACTAAAATTAGGCTGTATGTAAATTGTTTGTTAGAGTTTTGTTGCTGCAATGTATAGCTATATTTTCATAGATGGACGCTGATTTGAATTTTAATTGCATGTTTTTGCAATTTTATAACAAGCTCGCTTTACTAGCTTGATGGACTTTTAATATTTGACTACTTTGGAAGAAGTGAAAGACTATGAAACGTATCTTTATTTTAAAAATACGAAAATTTTAAAATTTTATTCTTATGGGAAACCAAGTTAGTTTCATCATTACTCAACTTGTTTCATCTTTAATAAACATAATAAAAATTTTATTGAATGAGAATTAATTAATTGGGAGTGAATTGCAAATATTATTTAATATTTTAACAACCCGAGTCAATTGTTCTCTTTTATAATCCATATTTAGATTCTACTTATATATAAGTTATATTATCTAGTGTATAATATTTAAAAAAAGTCCGCAAAATAGCGCATGATAGATTATTATTATAGATAGGAAGTAGTTTGTTGATTAAGATAATTTATTTTTGTCAAAATACTGCAAATTTTTAACGTTATAATAATGATAGATAATTTTGATAGATACATAGATGCTTATTTTATTAAGTTCATGTGTTAATTTTGCCAAATGTTCAATTTGGTCGTCGCGTATGAGCCTCTGTTGAAACGAGTTGTCATTGTTACAGACTGTTATATGAGTTAATTCGTTTTTAGAACACAGATTCTATTTATATTTTTTAATAATTATCATTCTATAAATTCTTCAGTATTGAGAGGTAATTGTAAATTATTTCCAACAAATAACCTATTATTGATATTACATACATTCTCTGAGATAATTGCTTACTAATGTAATTTTGATTTAAATAAATTGTTCTCCACAATTGTTAGTAACTCACTCCTTATTAAAAATCCTATTATTACCATCAATAGTTATCAATCATTTCACATGAAATTATTATGGAATATTAGTATTTATTATAGAATATTGGTTAGTTTCTGTAGCTCATTTTAAAATGAATAAAAAAAATGCTGGCATGTTATAATTTCCAAAGCAAACTATCATTTATAACCTTATTAAGTGAGTAAGAAACGCTCTGATGATCTCATTACACATGAGTCACACCTTATTATATTCATTATATAGTTCTATTTTCCCTACTTTAAACTTTTAAAAGAAGGAAAATTTGAGTCTTTTTTTCGTTTAAGAAACCTTTCAGTTGAAACAATATTGACATTTTGTTTGACATTCAGTTGACAGCATAATGATGAAGAAATCGTTTTGAAGATTTTTTGAAGAGGATTATTATCAACGTAACATTGCAGGTTTGTTTTTCTTCAAAATTTTTTATTTTTAATAAGTCGACATCTACAGAAAGTCATGTTTCTAGCAAGTCTTTATTAAATAAATGGATAATTTTTATATATCGTTAAATGATTTCAAAAAAAGCAAATACACTTTATTTTAAATTTTTTTAGAGTAAATTTTTTTTTATAATTAATGTTTTATATATAATTAATAAATAATAATTTGCCAATATTCTTAACGAGACATTCTCGATATTATTTCACATTTCACGTACACCATTTTAAAGTTGATGTTCTCATTACCTTGTCGAACATTTTCATTTCAATAATTCCACAAATAGTTATGTGTTATGTCTTCCAAAATATAATTCTCCTTTCCGTTACGAAGGCTGTACCATTATCCCCATCATCTCTATCATCTAATCACCAACATCTAGTATTTCTCATTCGTCATTTCTTCCAATTACTTAATAATCATTTATTTCATTGTATGTTCAGTTTATTAAGAGTATTTGTGGTTTATATTATATAAGATACTATGGCTGAAAATTTATTATTCACCTTATACACATATACATGTCCTATTAATGTTGCCACGACTGAACAATGCAAACATAAGTAGTACATTCATTCAATGTTGTACACTATCTCAGCTTACATATACGCACATTATTACGTTGTTACACTATGGTGCATACTTTGCACATTACGTTGCTAGCATTAATCATTTTTATGCATCATTACATTCATTCATAACAAACCGATTGCATCGCTATATGAAACCGTTCCTCCATTATTCAAAAATGTAAGCCTATGCTAAGATATTTGTATGCATTTGTTTATTTACTGACTCCTGCCTATACATTTATTATACTTATTTATTCTTTTCAAAATTAAATGAAAAATTATTTTATTGGGACTGATCCTTTGAAACGTTTGAATATAAACTCGACAAACGAAATTAAACATTCTATGAAAGAAAACAAAACCAGCCAGTCATCAACCAACTCTTCACAGAATGTCCGTTGACAAATCCAATCACACACATCAAAGCGTTGAAAAAGTTTAGCAATGCGATGGGCAAACATTCACACACTCGTTTGTATCACCACACATGTAATACAATACAAAGAAACAAGTTATATGTTTTATTTTACTGAACTATCTGGGCATGCAAGATAATATTTTTTCAAAATTTAAACAGGTCAAGTAGCTAATAATAACGATAATAGTGATCTGTTGGGCAAACATCAATGTATTCGTGTGTGTTTATGTGTATGTTTGTACGTGTGTGTGTGTGTGTGTGTGTGTGTGTGTGTATGTGAGTGTGTATGTGTTTGTGTGTGCGTGTGTGTGTGTGCGTGCGTATTTATGTGTGCAAGAAGTGTGAAGGAGGCAGTTTTAAGCTTTGGTTTGTTCATTTCATCAACACAAATCCGTTTTAAGACCAACTAAAATAATAAGCTAGAAAATAATGTAGTGAGTGAGTCTTTTGCAAAGTTTTGTTTACGAAGTGTTGATTGTTTTTTATGCAGCAAACATTTAACAAAACGTCTGTTTTTGTTTTACGTCTTTGGCAAAAAAGTTTGCATGTTACGTAACAATCTATTTAACGGACGAATTAAAGATAAACTTATCTAATGTGAACATTCCATTCCATAGTTGTGTGAATAATTACCGGTTGACTGATTGCATGGTTGATTGATTGATTGCATGGTTGATTAATTTATTGATTGCATGGTTGATTTATTGATTGATTTGTTGGTTGGCTGACTGATTGGTTAATTGAATGATCGATAGATTGATTCATTGATTCATTGGTCTAACTGATTAAAAGACTTTACGTTTTTTTTTTAATGTACCTTATCCAAAAAGAAATCCCTGCATGTGATAGTATGAAATAACATACCATATGTATGTAATGTACAGTACAACATTGTAGCGTAAAAACTGAAAAATACTTTAGTCAGGTACCTTATATATTGCGAGTTCTTAATTGCGTTCTTCACAGTTTGCTGTGTGAGTCACTGTTGAATGGTATTTGAATGAGCGATACACTAAACAATTTTATTCGTTTCTCATCTTTTGTAGACGTTGGGGCCATTTCAAACTTTTCGATTTTAATTAATTAAATTTTAAATTGAGAAAAATTTTTAATGTGAAAAAAAAACAATTTCAATCAAGCTTTAGGGTTACTGAAATTAGTTCCTGCTTTGATTCACTCCACAACTGTTTAATTAAAGTGAACCGATGAACCAGCCACACAATATAGATCTCATGCAACGGATAGCACTGAAATCATTACCTATTCACAATTCATGTACGGGGTATGAACGATATAAAAGTATTGGGAGCAGCAATTCGTGTCCAGCAGAATTAGAGGTGGACATGGGACTGGAAAATAGGGAATTCCCATGGGAATTCCCATGGTTTTATTATCCATTTTCACGTCTATGTTTTTGAAAGATTAAAATGAACTTCGTTTCACTTTTACGCTTTTCCTGTCTTTTAGAGTTTTATGATTCAGCTGATCGCATCGACGTGTTTATTTGTATTTTGATTGTGGAAAATAACTGTTGCAAAAATATGGCTTCAATCTATCACTCTAATCCGTGTATCTATTGTTGAATGCAATTTTGTAAATCTTACACCTTTTGAAGTTTCTAACGCACATAACAAACAGTTTTGTTGGTGTAAATTTAACAATACCGCATGTGGTTTAGAAATGATTCAATTCATTTTATTTAAATTTTAATTTCAATTGTTGCAAGTTTGATTTCTTATGAAATATATTGCAATAGACATGATCCTGCTTTGCAAGTTTCATACATTTCAGTCAGGTTTGTGGTGAAGTTGAGATGAGTCATAAAATATTGCTCAAAAGAAACGGAGAAATAAGGAAAATTGATACCTTAGTATAAAAAATGCCCAAAATATATTTATGTGTGTGCTATTTTTTAATCGTAACATAACTTGCAAAGTAATTTATTTTGCAAAATCCATAAAACAATTTTTTTTATTTATATTTAAATTTAAAAATATTATTTCAAAAGAAGAAAACAAAAGTTTCAAAATAAATTTTAGAACCCGCCTTAAAATTGATCACGCAATTTTTTTTATATTTTAGAATTATTTGAGGGTTTCATTATTTAATAGCATCACGTTCTCGGTTGGCATCTATCCAAACATCTATCTTGGCGGCTCACATTCAAAGAGCAGCGTAATTGTACAACGTACGTTAAAGTACAACATACCTAACAGTACAATACTTTGTACAACATAGCAGTACTTCATACTTATTTGTGCGTACAACATAAATAAATGTCCAGCGAGCATAATTGTGTACAACATACGTATAGTAAAGTAACCTCTGTCTCAAACGTAATTGTACAACATGAGTGAAGGAAAAGATTGTTATATGATCGAGACGTGCGACGAGCGACGTGCCTCACGCATCAACCAGCTCCTGCAACCGCGACCATTGTATATTTGCCCGGATGAAATAATGAAAAGTTATGGAGAGGCACAATCCATTTTTATGTCATTGAACAATTGTTTTTCTAGTGCACGCAAAAAACTAACGCAACAACTTAATGAATGTGAATATTTACTTAAATTAATTAAATTTTTCTCGCCAGCTACATGAATGAGTTTCTCAAAATAATAGAAGAAGTCGTGAGAATACAGAAAGCCAATATTTGCTTTTACTTCCACTTTCCTAACCTTATAATCATTTTAAACCATTTAACGCTGCAGATTTTACTTTATTTCAAGACGTTACAAAATTACCCTTCACAATTTCAAAGTACTTTCGCATTCCAAATCGTGACAGTCATTTCAACAGCGAACAACAGCACGGCTACTTTAAACATTCATTACTGCAACACAACAACTTCATTATCCTCCACATCAACAAAGTAACGACGCTGCATCACTTTATTCCAACAACAACATCAACAAAACTCAAAAACAACAACACTGCCCCATCTCAACCACGTCAACATCAACAAAAACAACAAAACCATCTCACCTCAATCACATCAACATCAATAAAAACAACAACACTTATCCTTCATTTGAAAACACAAGACTTTCTCGAGCAGAATAGAAATAAATGTAGGAGATTGTAGAAGAAATGCATGGACATCTTCATGTCTGCCGCATCACATCGACTTAACGTTTTTCTGCACATCATGCATCCATTCATTCACATGACCACTGCTGACCGACCAGCCTCGCGGGAGCGTTTAATTGAAATTAATCCAAATCTCATTTAATTATTTCGTACCGAAAGCCGAAACGACCGTAACATCCTATCGCTGTCATTCGGCGATCGTTTCGCGAAAGATATAAATGTTTTTATTTCCATTCTAGATAAAATTTATTTTTCTAATGAATAACAAAAATAAATAATTAAGATTTAGAAGCACTGGATTGAATTAATGGTTATTAATTACATTAATTAAGTGATTTTATTTGTTACTTTTAGAGAAGCATGAATATTCTACTAATTTTTATTTTGGGATGAACATTTGATTAAAAAGTTTTCATTTATTTGACGCTTCATCGTTTCACCGTTTCGTCATAAAACAAAATTTACATTAAACTGAGACTAATCTGGAAAGCAATTAAACGTAATAAAGAATAAGTTTCTTTTAATTTGCCAAGCCACTTCTCCTACTGCAAAGATCAAACGCACGTTCTCACTAACTGATGTTGTGCAACTCATTTGTTACCAAACCCAGATGAATGGTATCGGCAGTGTGAAATACGATCTAGCAAGTTTAATTCATCCATTGTGTTTTGCAAAAAATAATTATAATTATTATATGGATGTGGATTATTATAAGTACTATTATTATTGTTCTATAGATTGTTATAATTATAATCATTATTTGGATGTGCACGCTTTAAAAAATTTCGTGAATCATCAAATTATTAGAAGTGTTGTAACTATTTTCGTTTTGTTTTGGGTTCTTATCTCATAAATGGCAACCTCACGAACACTTCGCCAAATTGAAACAAATTATCCCTACTATGACTGACTGACATGTGATTAGACTTTGGAATGTGCGGTGCAGAAACTATCAAAGACTGAACAAAGGCAACATTAACGTGTGATGAGGAGTTAGGGTTAGGGTTAGCCGCTCGATGAATCTGATGGGTTGGCAGTTCACGAATCGGATTTGCATTTGTTTGCTAGAAACTGATTTCTATTAGAATCTAATTTGTTTATTTCTGTACTGGCATGCATGTGTTCTTATTTAGTGTAAGTGAAACGATGTAGATGCAATTAAGCATAACACGCATTTGCAATGTCTTAAATTAAAGATTTTAGACGTACAACGCAGTGGGAAGACAAGAACAAAAAAGGAACCTAAATAACAGGTTTGTCTTTTAATAAAAACACTTTGGATGATAATAAATATCATTGTTAGCGTGTCTATTTATAAATAGCGACATTCCAAAAGGGAATTTAATTAGAAATTTTTTCAACATTTTTTCAACTCGACGACTATATTTAGAAGGACATCACTTTAAAACATTAACATTCCCTATTCGTTTGGGTTGTCTGCTTGTTTTTATGTTCAACCGAAATATGAAAGTGTTTAGTAAAAATTTGCACGTATGGGCACTTTAAAGCTCAATTTAAAATTTAACATTGTTTCATTTGCATTTTCTCGTAAAATAAATAAATTAATTAATCAAACAATTAATTAAAAACCAATTAAACAATTAACTCGGCGTTTTGCCATCTATCAATTATAAAGTCGCTCGCATTATTCAATTCAAACTATTTACTGCCCCACCTACCATCAAATATTTCCGGCACGCGGCTCACTGCATTCATTAAACTTGCACGTGATCATTCATTAATATTCATTTATTCTAATGAGCTTCTGACGAATCACACATAAATTATTCAATCCAGGTTAAGTGAAAATACCTGCGATTGATTCGGAAGGATTGTTGTGTGATGGCGTTGTGTTGAGTGAAGTATGGATGGTGCTGCTATGTTGTGTTGTTGCTATGTTGTGTTGTCTGTGGTGTGTTGTTGCTATGTTGCGTGGTTTGTGTGTTGTGTTGTTTTATTCTTCCCTCCTTTGTCAGTGTGAAGCCAAATTTAGAATTATTTGAATTTTAATTGTTTCATTGGTGAACTGGTATTAATCAGTTTTAACTAGTTTCAATGAAACGAACGTGACGAGTTCCATAAATTACCTAAGTTGGAGACATTTTAGTATTCCATATGAGCTGTTTGTATTTTTTTCAAATTTAGGATTGTTTGAAATGCCTGTTGATTATTGTTTCAGTTCGAAAATATCAAAAAAGAAAAGGAATAACGAGTAGATGCAACTAATCAGTCCTCTACACGCACGAAAACAAACAAACGTTCATATTACCTCCAAATAATTGAAAATATGCAAATGCTCCAACTTATACGTGTGTATGCATTGCATTCGTATACTCGTCTAAGGTTGTGTGTGTATTATGTGTAGTGTGTGTGTGTGTGTGTGTGTGTGTGTGTGTGTGTGTGTGTGTGTGTTGTTTCCAGATATTAATCTTCAAAAAAGTTAAATTCGAATATAAAATTGTTGTTGCTGTTGTTGCTGTTGTTTTTTGTTTGTTTATTTTGTAAAAATGGAAATGTAAGAAAAGAATATAAATGATAAATGATCTATAAATTTGTATAATCTTCATCAGTTAGTTACTGAAAGAAATGAAACAAAACCAGTTTGATCCTAACCAACAAAATGCAGCCAACAGGTAACCATCAGCCTCACAAAATTGCAAAAGTGCAGTCGATTGATGAATTGTTGTTGTGTGACCCTTTGTTCGAGAATGTTGGAACAAGACAATGCACTCTGCTGCGCACCTTCACGTGACCATTCAAATTGGAACATTCACATTGAACCATTCACATTGGACAATTCATTCCAGATGTATTTGGCTCTATCTTACATATCAATAAATCTTCTCAAACAAAATTACGAATGCATCTCTACGTTTTAGATCTCATTCGGTCGGATGATATAATTTTTAGTAACGATCAATATTGTGAAATAACCTTTGTGCAAATTAAAATGCATTAATTCAAATTTATAGAACCGAAAGAACGTGCGTGTTACTATAAAAAAGTTAATTCTTAAAAATCTAACAAGTATTATCGATGATTCACATAATAATCTTTAAAGACTATAAAACAATGACTGCAAAGTTGAAAGACAAAGCCCACGAATCGCATTGCAGAGCAATAAGATTATAACAAACAACACAACTCATCCAGAAGGCATTAAAATGAAGCAAGGAAGAAAGTTAATGTTTCCATGAAAGTCTGAAGTGGACAGGAAGTGGACAGCACAGAAACATGCAACAATCCGTCTGCAGACTACTTACGCTACTTCAACATGCTTTTCTCAAATATCAATTTTCACTCAGCAAAACTTAAAAGAAAATCCAAGTTAAGTATCCAAAAATGTTTATTTTCACGAAAAAAAGCAAAAACAAGTGTTGATGAAAAACATAGCAACAGGAATATATATCCCTTGAATGGAGCCACGAAGAAAGTATTGATTTCTCAAGAGTCTAAACATTTCACTGGCTCATCAAAATGAACCTTCAAAATCATTTCATCTGCTTTCTTTAAAAAAACTTACAATAATTTTGAATTTTATGTGATAGTAAAAGTTAATTGAAACAAAAATTTTTATTGTTAGTTGTAAAAGTAAGTTGAATTGAATGCTTTGAAAAAGAGTTTTGTTTTGTTTTCTACACAAAACCAGCAAACAAAAAGTAGATCGAAGATTTTTTTATTTTAAACTAAAATGTAGACAAGTTTTTTGTCGACCCGTTTTTAAAAAATATGTTAAAACACATAATTAAACAGTTTACTAGGTTAATTTGAAAATGTAAGTAGGCATTTTGGCTCCCATTCAGAAGTCATCTCTCGTACAAAATCTCTTCCAGTCAACACCTCCTAATTATTTTCGTGCACTGAAAATAATCGAATTTTTTTTTACTTCCTGGCACATTTTTATGGTTTGAGTATATTTTTGTAACTTTTCAAAAATGACTTTGTTTTTTTCTTGTTTTATATTAAGGGAATAATTTCGATTCTTTAAAATGTGAGTTAATTAATATTATATTATTCATTTTATTTATTTTTTGGTTATCGGAAGTCTAAACAGTTTTGCAGTTTGCCTTTGCTAATATTTGTTCATTAGTAAATTTTCAACAAATTTTAAAACATCATGATTTCAGAAGAAGTTTCAATGAAAAATATTGTCCTAATGAGCTAATGAAAGCACTTCAAGTAACCATTGCACGTGCTTCACGCGTTTTTTAAACTTGAACATTATTACATCAAGTGCTGTTTTTTATCCAGAGTTGTATTAATTTCAACATTTTTAGAGCAATTACTGTTATTCCGAGAGTTCGATTTCATGTAATATATTTTAAAGGGTGAACTTATTATTTAGACCGCACCATCAATCATCAGCTCTGCAATATGTAATATTCGAAGCGGCTGGATCTGTCTAATATGCTGGTATCATTGAGTTACAAATTGTCATGTTTCTCTAAATTACAACCATAACAACTATATCATCGTTTCAATATCGTCGTCATCATCTTCATTTTTGTGATCACCATCACCCCCATCATCTTCCTCATCATCGGCTTCATCATTTTCGTCGTCATCATCGTCATCATAGCAACAAAGAACCAGCAACGTTGATGATGACAGTTTTTTATCACTACATTACAACTGCTGTCTGCCGAGCACACGCCATTCATCATTGTTATTATTTTTCTTTCTTCTCGGTCCTCGTTATCATCATCGTCACCATCATTTTGATCACCGTCATTTTCATCATCCCTATCACCATCATCATCATCATCTTGATATCATCATTATCATTATCACATCTTTCGGTTTGATATCTGTTTGTGATGACTTTTTCGATGATGATGATGATGGGTGAATGATGATGATGATGGGTGGATGATGATGATGGGTGGATGATGATGTCGCATATAAAATCGTGGTTATGTTGAAAATGAACTACGGTTGTTGTGAAGTTCATTTCATTCTAAACTATAAAATTATCACAAAAATTATTTCGCGATTGATGATAACGAACTTTCAAAAATGCTCTCAACGATGGCTGCGAAACTTCAACAAACAACAACAACAACAATGATGATGATGATGCTGATGGTGACGAAAATTTTTTCAAAGACGACGATGAGATAGAATGGGTGACGTTGATTAAGATTATGATGATGATAATAATAATAATAATAATAATAATGAATGTGATAATGATGATGATGATCACAAAAATATAGTCATTAAAGTCAGCTAATGATGGCGATAATGAAATGGGGATTAAATTTATGATAAATACGATGATGACGATGATCAGAACGAAAATTTGATTACAATTTGATTGTTAATTGATCATGGAATCAAATTCCTCCCATCCGCCGTACAACTTCCATTCCAACTACAAATTGATTCATCTCATCTCATCTTCTAGAGATTCACTGCGTGGCAAACTGTTTCCCGTGTTTCCGTCATCATTTCGCAAGCTTTATTTGGTTATCAGAATATTAATTCACATTCAAGATTTTCCTTGATAGTTTTGATTTTTAATGAAGTTATGTTGTTGTTTATATAATTTTTCAATTAATAACAAATGACATCGTTACATTCATTAACAAAACTACGGCATTGCCAGTGCAAAATCATGCAACAACCAATGTTTCGATTTTTGTGACAATTTTTACAAATTTTTAAACTTTTAATGAGCAGTCATTTTGTCACAAAGTTCCATTAACTTTTAAAAACACTCAATTTTTAAAATTTAAATTCTATAAAAAAAATAGTTGAAATAGAAAAAGTTGCATACATTTATTTAAAATTTCTTTTAAAACTCGACAATAAATCTTTTATGAATTTTTTTTACAGATGCGTGCTGACAACAACTACAGCGTGCCCAACAAATAAAAATTTGAGACTTCACATTTAGCGCAGACACTCGCATACAATTACAAATATACAAAACATTGGTACATTACAAACAATCATTGGTACTCTGCTTCCGAACGCACACATCCACATAACTTGATGTGTATTTACTTTCAACCAAAAAACACACACACATTCACGCACTCCAACATGTTATTTTCCCACGTGTGAAATAAAAATCGGCATCAATAAAAATATAAAAAAATAAAACATTAAAGTTAATTAAACATTGCTTTAAAACTTTTAAAACTAAAAACGATTGAACTGTTAAAATCATTTTTTTCTAAGGGTTCATTCCGTAACATGTCCTTAGTCGTATATGCTTTGCTTACAAAGAACCTCATACAAATTATTGAAATGTTTTGCCTGATACTTCATTAGGCTCTGTTAAATAACTTTTTCGGACATTCATTTTCCATATCTCCACATTTAGGTCTTCAATTATAATTTTTCAATTTTTTGGTTTACAAATCAGTTCACAAAAGAATTATTAACTGAATTATTAAATTATTGATGGAAAATATAAATAGTAAACTGAATAAGCATTCAAAAGAAGTGTTCATCAGGATCATATAATAAACCATTGTTTACTTTGTTAATGGCGCGATTTACGAATAATTTGCAGACGATCTTCAAACTTTGATACCCCACCCTTATCGAGGTGATTAATAATACAAATACAAGTTCTCTGTTGACACAACTTGCTGACGTGATTAGGAGGTCCAACAATATCCTTCATTAACAATCTGTACAAATCAATCGACTTCGCATTTCTTACCTTACATAGCAATGTTAGTAAGAAGTTTAACTGTTGCTACTTAGGATAAAAAATGATATTGATATTATACATGCACACGCATCTCTGTATCTCCTTCTCGTTCTTTTTTAAAATTTTATTTTCTCATATTTTTGTTTTCTCACTCTCTTTCTTTATCTCTCTCTCTCTCTCTTTCTCTCTTTCTTTCTTTCTTTCTTTAATTACATAAATATAAGGTTTATAACTAGATAGAAATTAAATATACTTGAATGCAAATTAAAATAATCTATAATAATTTCCGGTGTGATTAATTTAAGTCATTTTTTTACATCAAAAAATATCACAAACTTGCAGTCAGCTTTATTTTTTTTTTATAAATTTCAATCCAATAATATTGCCGTTTAAACAAGTTGGTCAGGTCAAAGTTTTAGTTTAAAATAAAGCAAATATATCAACACCAACCATCAAAAGCACTCAGACCATCATCATCGTAGATATCATAGTCATCTCCTCCATAATATTCATAAACAGCATCATCATCTGGACATCATCATGAATTTAAGTCTTATTCATACCGAGGCCGACCATGTACTGTATGACTCATGCTAGATGACTCACTGGTGGCTGGTAGGAGCTACTAAGCAGTCATCGTCGTCGTCGTCGTCATAATCTTTATCATCATCGTCATCATCATTTTCGTCATCTTTATCATTGTCTACGTCATCATCGTCGTCTTGTTAAACAACATTGCTATCATCATATAAAACCTCCTCGTCATCAATTTGGTTACTATTATATTGTCTTTCTTTTGCACTGTTATCATCGCTTACATCATCGTCATTATCATAATCGTCATCATTATTATGCAGGTAATTTCCACCTCACATTACATCGTTTCCAAATCTCTACAGAAAAATATCACTTTGCTGTTATGGCTTCATTTATAAAACACGCTTTTCGTTATGACGAATTTTCATTATCCTTGCTAATTACTAATAACACTACTTGTTTATATCAACTTATATTACAATTATAGTTATAATATTATAGTTAAATGTAATTTTGATTATAGCTACTAAGAGCTAATTAATTAGAGC